TACCCATGTGCGCAGTTCTGGTGTCCAAGTTCACAAAGCATAAGTGCACCGGACATCGGAACAGCTACAGTGTAGGTCGATTGACCAGCACACGATTTGGACTACGTTTTGATGATGAATGAGTGGAGATCTAGTTTGGCGTTACAGTACACGGTACTTTGCGACAACTGTGGGCACCTTCATTTCAAATCATGAAAACTGTCACCCAAGGGAAGTAATGGCGTTGACAGTTCCTCCATTCCAAGTTCATAGTGAGATGGTTACTCTAGTATACTAGTTCTCGGATAACCTCAATCTGTGGACAGCATTCTCTGTGGTCCTTTGTGGACTCGTCAGCGCAGCAAAGGGAAAATGTGGCCGAACCTGATACATGAAGCAATGAAAAAATATTTTCCAAAGCCAGATTTAAATAAGGCCCAAAAGCACGTTACCAGAGTGCTCAAACTGACACGTCAGTGAGCTGTGCATAACGCAGGCAAACAGCAAAGGCACTATCCCGCACGAAATTGCACACCTACACATGTACTACAGTTCTGGACATGGAAACCCAGTGGATTGACCTGGGCCGGTGTCCTCAGTGCGTACAGAACGTTGTGTACAACAGTCATGTTGATCTGATGTGACCAGTGCACTGCAGTGACCAGTGCACTGCAGTGACCAGTGCACTGCAGTGACCAGACAGTGCACTGCAGTGACCAGTGCACTGCAGTGACCAGTGGACTGCAGTGACCAGTGCACTGCAGTGACCAGTGCACTGCAGTGACCAGTGCACTGCAGTGACCAGTGCACTGCAGTCACCAGTGCACTGCAGTCACCAGTGCACTGCAGTCACCAGTGCACTGCAGTCACCAGTGCACTGCAGTCACCAGTGCACTGCAGTCACCAGTGCACTGCAGTGACCAGTGCACTGCAGTGACCAGTGCACTGCAGTGACCAGTGCACTGCAGTGACCAGTGCACTGCAGTGACCAGTGCACTGCAGTGACCAGTGCACTGCAGTGCACTGGTCACTGCATTGACCAGAGTACTGCAGTGCACTGCAGGGACCAGTGCACTGCAGTGCACTGCAGTGACCGTGCACTGCAGTGACCAGTGCACTGCAGTGACCAGTGCACTGCAGTGACCAGTGCACTGCAGTGACCAGTGCACTGCAGTGACCAGACAGTGCACTGCAGTGACCAGTGCACTGCAGTCACCAGTCCACTGCAGTCACCAGTGCACTGCAGTGACCAGTGCACTGCAGTGACCAGTGCACTGCAGTGACCAGTGCACTGGTCACTGCAGTGACCAGAGCACTGCAGTGCACTGGTCACTGCAGTGCACTGGTCACTGCAGTGAACTGGTCCCTAGTGCACTGCAGTGACCAGTGCACTGCAGTGACCAGTGCACTGCAGTGACCAGTGCACTGCAGTGACCAGTGCACTGCAGTGACCAGTGCACTGCAGTGACCAGTGCACTGCAGTGACCAGTGCACTGCAGTGACCAGTGCACTGCAGTGACCAGTGCACTGCAGTGACCAGTGCACTGCAGTGACCAGTGCACTGCAGTGACCAGTGCACTGCAGTGACCAGTGCACTGCAGTGACCAGTGCACTGCAGTGACCAGTGCACTGCAGTGACCAGTGCAGCACCAGTGCACTGCAGTGACCAGTGCACTGCAGTGACCAGTGCACTGCAGTGACCAGTGCAGCACCAGTGCACTGCAGTGACCAGACAGTGCACTGCAGTGACCAGTGCACTGCAGTGACCAGTGCACTGCAGTGACCATTGCACTGCAGTGACCAGTGCACTGCAGGGACCAGTGCACTGCAGTGACCAGTGCACTGCAGTGACCAGTGCACTGCAGTGACCAGTGCACTGCAGTGACCAGTGCACTGCAGTGACCAGTGCACTGCAGTGACCAGTGCAGCACCAGTGCACTGCAGTGACCAGACAGTGCACTGCAGTGACCAGTGCACTGCAGTGACCAGTGCACTGCAGTGACCAGTGCACTGCAGTGACCAGTGCACTGCAGTGCACTGGTCACTGCAGTGACCAGAGCACTGCAGTGCACTGGTCACTGCAGTGCACTGCAGGGACCAGTGCACTGCAGTGACCAGTGCACTGCAGTGACCAGTGCACTGCAGTGACCAGTGCACTGCAGTGCACTGGTCACTGCAGTGACCAGAGCACTGCAGTGCACTGGTCACTGCAGCGCACTGCAGGGACCAGTGCACTGCAGTGACCAGTGCACTGCAGTGACCAGTGCACTGCAGTGACCAGTGTACTGCAGTGACCAGTGCACTGCAGTGACCAGTGTACTGCAGTGACCAGTGCAGTGCAGTGACCAGTGCACTGCACTGCATATACATCAACATGTACATGTACATGTAATGCATGTGTGTACTGCTTATCCACGGCTGAATGGCCAGCGCCCTAGGGCCGCTAGATGTGTGACCGGATTTTCATGTCCAAGATCGTATGACAGTACAAGAGCAGGAGCAAAATGCCGAATATTACGGTGTGTTGGGCTCACCAGAGTCTAAGGCGCACCTGCCTTTTCGGGTCCACCATCTGTATTTGTATTGCCATCTGCTGTATAAGCCACCCGCCCATCAGATTTCGAATGTTTTGGCAACAATGGTTAAAAGGTTGAGAAACATGACCGAAGTTCTACAAAGGTTGTCTACCTTGCCGTTCGCTCAGAACTGGCAGCATGTACAATAAGAAGCTTTGCACCAGTACAATGATGGGCTGCAGTACATGAAGAGTAGCTGAACAACACCATGCATGCAGTATATTCATAGAGTGCTGTAGCGTTGGTAGTCATTCCTAGCATTCCCAGTCTTAGCCGCAGGTGTGATTTTGCAGTTTTTGTATGCATTTCAAAGTGCGGAACACCCCAGAAAATCCGGTACTCAATCTGCGGGCAGAATTGTTTTGTCCGGTGGCTTGTTTTACATGAGAATTTTCTACCCGGGTTGAAAGTCCGTACATGGGAAAATAAGTGGGTGTTCACAAGACAGTTGACTCGCGTCAAATACTGATATGCCGTCAAAAAGTCCACTTCTAGAGTCCTACATAAAAAGAAAATATTAAATTCGACGGGTTCGCGTACCGGGCAGGTCAATAACAAGGAGTCATACAACTCCAAGGTCAAGAACCACCTTTCCGCTTCCGTGGGACACCACCACCCCATGATCAGGCGTCAGATACGGCTCCTAAACGGTGGGGGAGGATAGATGAGATCCACCAACCAGAGGTCAAAGGCCTAAATCCCATTTGCCACATCCATGTTTAACTCATGCCAGGCCACGAGTTCCCAATTAACTGTGGGTCGCAGCACGATTGGAAAAAATCCTTCCACTTCCAAACAGGACTTGAACCTGGTACAGTACCTCTCGTTTCTCAATCATGGCATGAGACCAATCCACTGTGCCTGTCTGAGTCCTACAATGTCACGTGAAAGCATTCGCGCAAAATGTTCCTGTGCAGTGCTGTTCAAACTTGGCGCAAGATACGCACAGAAGTACGGTAGTAAGATTTCTCAATGTCAACCCCCCCCCCCTGGGCCCGAGGGGATGGTTGAAATCCACCCCGTTTGAAATTTCAACCCGGATCAAGCGCCATGCAGCATGTTAACGCTACAGTCAATCTATGGTCAGGGTGGGTTGAAATTTGACCCTGGCTGAAACGCCTCATGTAAACACAGCTTAGTGGACTCGCCAGCGCAGCACAGAAAAAAGAGGCTAAACCGTATACTTTGGTAAATAATGTTCTGAATGTTTTAGGCCTGCAAGAAAATAAAAGATCGCTCAAAAACACACACACACACACATACGGTCTCCGAACTGCAATTAAAAAAAAATTAAAAAATTCGGCCCTGGGTATCATCAAGATTGAATCTAAAATTGCAAGAAAGTTTACTGATAAAATCTGTCTCATTGTGTGTATACCGTATTTTCATGTATAAGCCGCATTTCCAACGCTCAAAATACACCCAAAAATGTGGGTTGCAGCTTATACAGCTGTATTCCGATGATCGGTAATAAATAAATAGGGTTGATGTTTGCATTTTGTGGGAAACAATTGGGGTTGCGGCTTATACTCCAGTGTGACTTAGGCTGTTTTACATGAGGCGTTTCAACCCGGGTTGAGTTCAACCCGGGTCAGATTTCAACCCGCCATGTACACGAAATGAATGGCGCGTTTACATGACGCATTGCGCTTGACCCGGGTTGAAATTTCGCCCCGGGTTGATTTCAACCCTCCCCCAAGCTAGGGGAGGGTTGAAATCAACCCGGGTCAAGAAAAGCGTACAAACGTACTTCTGTGCGTATCTCGCGCCAGGTTTGAACAGCACTGCACAATGCACATGCAAATTTCGCGCGAACAGATTCACGAGACTATACGGAACCGTTGAAGTGAACTTTTGGCGGCATATCAGTATTTGACCCGGGTCAACTGTCTTCATGTAAACGCTCACCTATTTTGTCTATCGTACAGACGAACTCGACCCGGGTTGAAATTTCTCATGTAAACATAGCCCAATACCCCAGAAAATACGGTATGTGTGTGAGTGTGCATGAGTGCATGTGTGTGTGTGGTGCGTGTTTTTATGTGTGTATGTGTGTGTGGGGCGGGGGTTGGCGCTGGTTCGCGTTCTTGTGTACCACACCCGATTCTGCTCACGACTTGACCACTGTTGGTCCCTTCGGGACCTTCTATAATCTCTGCAAGGGCATATTCTATTCTATTGTAATGTATGTGTACTTCTGAAGTATATGACTGTGTATGTATGTGGTGGGTGTTTGTGTGTGTTTGTGTGTATGTGTGTATGTGTCTATGTGTATATGTGTATGTGTGTACATGTATTTGTAAATGTGTGAATGTGTGTATGCCGGTATGTGTGTGTGTGCGTGTGTGTGTATACCGGTGCGTGTGTGTATGTGTTGTTTGTATACCGGTGTGTGTGTTATGTGTATGCCGGTATGTGTGTGCTTTCATTGTGCTACCCTGTTAGGTGTTCACTTCTGACACGTTCTCTCACGTGGCTACCTTCGGTTCAAGCAGTTGTCTTTCTAAGCCGGTCGGCATTGCAGTATCACCCAGTGGTACTGTGTATGTTAGTAACATGGACAAACACTGTATCACAATGTTCTAACTTTTGTGCTGGAGCATCTTGTTTCTTGTTCTACACTAATGTTTCTCACTGCTGTGAAACATGAACAGGACCAGTATTAGCAGTTTTGTTTGCTCAGGCTTTACTATAGTATTTCAGTTTTGGTTGTGTGACACATCGAGTATGCATAACCTTGCCAGTAGCTAACATGTATTGTGCAGGCGAACAGTAGATCCAGCCAAGTCATGACCGACTGGAGCAGTTCCAACATGCCTGATTAAGATGATGAACTGATGAACATTACCAATTACTGTTTATCATACTTGCATGATTGAATGTGTGCTTGCATATGTGTGTATGTGTGTGTGTGTGTGCACTTGTGTGTGTGTGTTTGTGTGTGTGTGTGTTTGTGTGTATGTGTGTATGTGTGTATGTATGTGTGTGTGTGTGTGTTTGTGTGTGTGTATGTGTGTGTATGTGTGTATGTTTGTATATGCGTGTGTGTATGCATGCATTTGCTTATGAACTCCTGCACTGAGTTGTATATCTACATGGTACTTGGATCACTCTCATTGTTACAATCCTATTCTCGATGTGCAGAGGATGATTCTATTGATTGTGTTGGCTGGGTGCTCTTTTCCTTTCTCTGAAAATATATTGCATTTCAGCGAAATGTCTCGCTGCTTAGTATCGCAATACATCATAAAGTTTTTTTATTTCACTTTTGGATACAATGAAGAATGTGCTCATTGTCCGAGGTACTGTTTTCTTTCTATCATGGTTTGTGATGTTTTCTGTTAGTATCTTCATTTTAGAAATGTTTCAAACCTTTATAACTGCTGCATACTGTTGTTTGATCTGAAGAGATGCAGTATTGATAGTTGTCTGATGATTGCCTATGGAGTATGGCCATGAAACTCTTTGTTATAACGATAATGTGTGGTGCTCTGTGTTGCATGACCAGTCTTAGCTATAACCAACAATGCTACAGCCGTGTGAAGGGCACTTAGAGTAATAGCAGGGAGCAGTAAGAACAGAACAGAGCAATGACAAAAGACACCAGTTGCCAGAACAGAAGCGTAAAGAACAGACTGAATAACGGAAGCCTGAAATGCCAGCAAGGAGCCAAACCCAATCCACGCATGACGTCACATGCACATGCGTGGGGCACACATAGAACACACGAGTACTTGAATGCGGTACACGTGACTCTGTGTGATTTTGTGTTGTTTTTTTGTTTTGTTTTTTTTACTATGTTCACATACCCAACTCATAAATAATACAGAAGACAATGGTACTGAGACAAGGACAAACGTGACAACTACTGAGAAGGGGCTGCACCGAGGTGCAGCAGTGATGGTGGGGCATTGATGGCTCTGCCGACCTGAGGTTTCGGCATCACGGCCAGAAACACGCACCAAAAACAAAAGATCTAGCTGTAAGGGTCAGCAAAAATAAAAAGAAAGCAAGGGCAAGCAACAGCTAGTACTAGTGTGCAGCGCATTCGTAGCAATGGGAGTCGTTGACGAGGCATTAGAATGTAGGTGGGTCGACAGGCAGAATGTCCGTGGACCATCGCCAATCCTGTCGGCGGAGGTATTCGTTGACGTTGCACTTAAACTTTTGAAGATTTTTGCGATTTGGGGCGGAGTCTAGAAAAGCTGGCGGCAGGGAATTCCACAGCTGGATTGCACAATGTGGGAAGCTGCGGAGAATGGTGTCTGGTGCTTGACGCTGTAGCGGATTTCGTAGCTGGTAACTGTGGCCGGCGGCCATGCGGAGATCGTTTCGAGTGCGAGTGGCGTCACGGGGCTCAAGCCTTGGTGGGAGGACTGCTAGCAATTGAGTCGGACCGGTGATGAAATGCAGTTTGTAAGTGTATGTTAATGCAGCAACGTATCGCCGTAGGCTGAGGCGCTGGAGCTCCGTCCCAGGACCAATGATGCGCAATGCACGGCGTTGGATGCTATCTAGGCGTGCAAGATGGGAGGGAGCAGCTCCCATCCAGACGAGCGGAGCATACCCCAAAACGAGCCGTACAAACCCCTTGTACACCGTGAGGCGGCCTTCTCGGGAGACATAGGGCGCAGCTCGCCGCAGGTAGCCCAAGCGCTGTTTGCCACGTATAGACACTGCGCGGATGTGCTCCGCGAAGGATAGCTTCGGATCAAAAGTCACCCCCAAGAGCTTTATTGTGGATGACTCTGGCACAGGGTTGCCTCCAAAGAGGAGAGAGGGCAAGGCTAGCTGCGCTCTTTGCAGCGTGACTGTCATAGCCTGGGATTTCGACGGCTCAAACGCTACACGCCATTCCTTGCCCTAGTCTGACAGACGATTGACGGTGTCCTGAAGAAAGGCAGCAGCTGTGGGAGGTCGTTACGGAGAAAAGTGTACAATGTCGTATCGTCAGCATAGGCTTCCAGCTGCGTGTTCCCAGCAAGGCATGTTGATACGTCGTTAATGTATATGAGAAACATGGTTGGCCCCAAGATGCTGCCTTGTGGGACTCCCGCCTTGATGGGGTATGGACGGGAGGTTGCACCACCGACAACACACTGTATGCTTCGGTTAGACAGGTACGATGTCAGCCATGCAAGGAGGATTCCTTGGATGCCACATTGCTGTAGCTTGAAGGGGCCACCTGCGTGAGAGACCTTGTCGAAGGCTCCAGCTATGTCAACTGCAAGTACGCGTGCTGCGCCCCCGTGTCCGAAAGAGGATGCCCAGGAGTGGTGTAGCGCAGTAAGAGCGTCGGCTGTACCCAGATTCCGTCTGAAGCCAAACTGATTCGCTGCAAGCAGTGAGTAACCCTCGAGATAGTTTGTAGTTTGCATGTTGATAATGGTCTCCATTACCTTGGATATCACACTAAGGAGGGATACGGGGCGGTAGTTCTTGAGCTGTGAGCGAGATGAGCGTTTATGCACAGGAACAACATTGGCGAGCTTCCAGGCCTGAGGTTGGTATCCATGCCGGACGTACAATGAGAAAAGCTTGGTCAGGACCGGGGCGAGCACCGAAGCGCATTCTTTGAGGACACGGGGGGAGATGCTGTCCGGCCCCGTGGCTTTCGACGCGTCGAGACGGCGCAGAAGGCAGTGAACATTCTGGATGCGGAAGTGGACGTGGGTGAGTGGAGGATGTGGGTGAGCAGGCGCTGGGGTTCTGTGAGGTAGATAGTATTGTGTGTTGTTAGATGGTGACATGGTGAAACAGCGAGGCAGTGAGATGGTGATATGGTGAAACAGCGAGGCAGTGAGATAGTGATATGGTGAAACAGCGAGGCAGTGAGATGGTGATATGGTGAAACAGCGAGGCAGTGAGATGGTGATATGGTGAAACAGCGAGGCAGTGAGATGGTGATATGGTGATACAGCGAGGCAGTGAGATGGTGATGTGGTGAAACAGCGAGGCAGTGAGATGGTGATATGGTGAAACAGCGAGGCAGTGAGATGGTGATATGGTGAAACAGCGAGGCAGTGAGATAGTGATATGGTGAAACAGCGAGGCAGTGAGATGGTGATATGGTGAAACAGCGAGGCAGTGAGATAGTGATATGGTGAAACAGCGAGGCAGTGAGATGGTGATATGGTGAAACAGCGAGGCAGTGAGATGGTGATATGGTGAAACAGCGAGGCAGTGAGATGGTGATATGGTGAAACAGCGAGGCAGTGAGATGGTGATATGGTGAAACAGCGAGGCAGTGAGATGGTGATATGGTGATACAGCGAGGCAGTGAGATGGTGTTATGGTGAAACAGCGAGGCAGTGAGATGGTGATATGGTGAAACAGCGAGGCAGTGAGATGGTGATATGGTGAAACAGCGAGGCAGTGAGATGGTGATATGGTGAAACAGCGAGGCAGTGAGATGGTGATATGGTGAAACAGCGAGGCAGTGAGATGGTGATATGGTGAAACAGCGAGGCAGTGAGATGGTGATATGGTGAAACAGCGAGGCAGTGAGATGGTGATATGGTGAAACAGCGAGGCAGTGAGATGGTGATATGGTAAAACAGCGAGGCAGTGAGATGGTGATATGGTGAAACAGCGAGGCAGTTAGATAGTGATATGGTGAAACAGCGAGGAAGTGAGATGGTGATATGGTGAAACAGCGAGGCAGTGAGATAGTGATATGGTGAAACAGCGAGGCAGTGAGATGGTGATATGGTGAAACAGCGAGGCAGTGAGATGGTGATATGGTGAAACAGCGAGGCAGTGAGATGGTGATAAGGTGAAACAGCGAGGCAGTGAGATGGTGATATGGTGAAACAGCGAGGCAGTGAGATGGTGATATGGTGATAAAGCGAGGCAGTGAGATGGTGATATGGTGAAACTGCGAGGCAGTGAGATGGTGATATGGTGAAACAGCGAGGCAGTGAGATGGTGATATGGTGAAACAGCGAGGCAGTGAGATGGTGATATGGTGAAACATCGAGGCAGTGAGATGGTGATATGGTGAAACAGCGAGGCAGTGAGATGGTGATATGGTGAAACAGCGAGGCAGTGAGATGGTGATATGGTGATACAGCGAGGCAGTGAGATGATGATATGGTGAAACAGCGAGGCAGTGAGATGGTGATATGGTGAAACAGCGAGGCAGTGAGATGGTGATATGGTGAAATAGCGAGGCAGTGAGATAGTGATATGGTGAAACAGCGAGGCAGTGAGATGGTGATATGGTGAAACAGCGAGGCAGTGAGATAGTGATATGGTGAAACAGCGAGGCAGTGAGATGGTGATATGGTGAAACAGCGAGGCAGTGAGATGGTGATATGGTGAAACAGCGAGGCAGTGAGATGGTGATATGGTGAAACAGCGAGGCAGTGAGATGGTGATATGGTGAAACAGCGAGGCAGTGAGATGGTGATATGGTGATACAGCGAGGCAGTGAGATGGTGATATGGTGAAACAGCGAGGCAGTGAGATGGTGATATGGTGAAACAGCGAGGCAGTGAGATGGTGATATGGTGAAACAGCGAGGCAGTGAGATGGTGATATGGTGAAACAGCGAGGCAGTGAGATGGTGATATGGTGAAACAGCGAGGCAGTGAGATGGTGATATGGTGAAACAGCGAGGCAGTGAGATGGTGATATGGTGAAACAGCGAGGCAGTGAGATGGTGATATGGTGAAACAGCGAGGCAGTGAGATGGTGATATGGTGAAACAGCGAGGCAGTGAGATGGTGATATGGTGAAACAGCGAGGCAGTGAGATGGTGATATGGTGAAACAGCGAGGCAGTGAGATGGTGATATGGTGAAACAGCGAGGCAGTGAGATGGTGATATGGTGAAACAGCGAGGCAGTGAGATGGTGATATGGTGAATCAGCGAGGCAGTGAGATGGTGATATGGTGAAACAGCGAGGCAGTGAGATGGTGATATGGTGAAACAGCGAGGCAGTGAGATGGAGATATGGTGAAACAGTGAGGCAGTGAGATGGTGATATGGTGAAACAGCGAGGCAGTGAGATGGTGATATGGTGAAACAGCGAGGCAGTGAGATGGTGATATGGTAAAACAGCGAGGCAGTGAGATGGTGATATGGTGAAACAGCGAGGCAGTTAGATAGTGATATGGTGAAACAGCGAGGAAGTGAGATGGTGATATGGTGAAACAGCGAGGCAGTGAGATAGTGATATGGTGAAACAGCGAGGCAGTGAGATGGTGATATGGTGAAACAGCGAGGCAGTGAGATGGTGATATGGTGAAACAGCGAGGCAGTGAGATGGTGATATGGTGAAACAGCGAGGCATTGAGATGGTGATATGGTGAAACAGCGAGGCAGTGAGATGGTGATATGGTGATAAAGCGAGGCAGTGAGATGGTGATATGGTGAAACTGCGAGGCAGTGAGATGGTGATATGGTGAAACAGCGAGGCAGTGAGATGGTGATATGGTGAAACAGCGAGGCAGTGAGATGGTGATATGGTGAAACAT